CAGTTTCACCTGTATATACACCAAACTTTTCCAGTCTTGTACCTAGTTATATTATGAAGACATTTACAGAGGGATTTGTAAATATATTATTCCTAGCCTGATTTATATAACATTTTATTCCAAAAAACAGGGCGAAAATCATTATTTTTAAGGCTATTGGGAGTATATTCTGATTTACAGGATAACAAAAGTAGATATCCATAAATCCCTCTGTCATTTTTTTCCCATCTAGTATATGAACACAATGAAAAATAATTTTGATCCTGGCTTTATCCAATACTCAGATTTCGTTTTTTTTTTTTTAAATATATGCAAATTAGCGAATATTTAATTAGAGAATGCATAATTTGCATATTTAAACATTAATTAGCAGAAAACTTGTAATACATTTTTTTCTCATCTTAATGTGGGTAATCAACTGGGAAAGTTTCATGGTGATATCTGCTAGTTAAAAAAAAAAACCTATTCACATGTAGTGTCTCGCTTTAAAGGGTTCAATTATTTTAATATGTTCCTTGAGGTTCGCTTATAGTTTTAATAGTTTTTATTGCACGAAAGACAAATATATATATGTAGAAAAATTATTATTTTTAACCCTCATTCTGAGCCTCTGTCTGAAATTATCTTTTTTTAAATGTATCCCTTAAAACACCAAAATTACATTATTTAAAAGTTTTTCTGTCCTGTCCATCTGATGCTATTTTGTGTTTAGTGACGGGAGTGAGTGTGTTTGCAACAATGTGTCCGTGCAAACCTGCAAAGGAAGTTGGGTAACGCTTTGTTTTACAGTGTCCTTGTTACATAATGTACTTACCGTAGTAATAACAGTAAATTATGCATAATTATATGCAACTAACCCTCAACCAAACCCTAATCCTACCCTAACCCTGTAGTATTGCTTATTATTACTCGGTACTTAAATATATAATTACACTGTTACAATGACACCTTAAAATAAAGCGTAACTGGAAGTTGTTACATTTGTTGTAGGGTTCATTTATTAAAGGGGTCATGAGATGTATTTTTTTATTTTTATTATTATGTTCCTTGAGGTTCACTTATAATTGTAATAGTTTTTTTTTGCACGAAAAACAAATATATATATATATATATATATAGAATTTTTAAATGTTTAACCCTTATTCTGAGCCTCTGTCTGAAATTATCACTTTTTAAGGTGCTCCTTTAAAGTCCCCCTGTATATAATAATTGCATCCCTTAACTCATCTTTGATCACCAAAATTACATATTCAAAAATGTTTTCCTTGGAAAAAATCTTCATGGCTTAAAAATATCTTGAATGTAACTCGACACCCTTGCCTCATTTAGTATGCATGATTCTATGAATATGCAAATGAGCCCCGCCTCCACTCACTCACTCAGCTCAGAGATCCACTGGTTGACGATCACACGTTGATCTGATTGGTTACAAGGTCGTTTGTGCTGGATTTTTCATGTCATAAACCTTTTAAGGCGAGACACTACAGGGGAAACAATATGAATAAAATAAAATAAAATCTATCAGATTTTAAAGTTATTTTGTGTTTTTCAGTCTCGCAACCTCCTGCAAGAGTTCATCCAGTTTGTCAAGGTAACATCTGTCAGTCATACATTCAGATTAAAGCTGTTGCATTCATATTTGTGAGTTGAAAGGCAGCGGTGTGTTGAAATATGCCTTTTATTATAATAATACACTATAAAGACACTTTATAGAAAGATACTTTATTATAATTGTCTCTTTTTATTTGCAACTTGAATGATGCGCTTAAAGCAAACGATCAGATGATTGATAACAAATTAATAAATCAGTCTTTTTTTATGGAAATCAAAACAGATTCTGATTCAATGATTTAATTCAAAGGTGTTGAAAAATAGTAAAATAGGCACATTTGTACAGAACTGTGATGCACATCTTGTGTAAATATAATGTGAAGCATACATACAGTCAAACCAAATATTATTCAGACACCAAATATATTTTTTGAGATGTTTTTACTTGTGTGTGCAGGACACTATAGTTCATTTATGTAAGTGAGGAGAGCAAAATAAAGCAAACTGTGAGATATTATACACAAATATTCTTCATACCAGTAACATTTATAAAAATTTGGGATTCAATAATGATTCCTCCACTTTGAGCTGATCATGTTTTGCTGAAGTGTGTTTTCTGTAACTGCTAATGCTCTTTTTACACACACACTGAACAACATGAAGCATTGCTTGGTCACTGGTTGAGCTAAACTGGTATTATCTAATTGTGTAGTTAAATTTAACAGCTGACAGATATTCAACATAATTCATGTGTGAGAGTCGAACAGAAGGACGGACAAAACCAGTCAAATATCCACTGATCTGAGAACTGTTGAAGGAAGGTGTCTGAATATATTTTGGTTTGTCTGTATATACAACAAAATCGTTTATATTAAACCCTATATTTATGGCACTTGTGTTCACTTCTGTCTCCTACTCAGAAATCGAAAGTGGTTTTGCTGGAGGACTTGGCGTCTCACTTTGGCTTGCGCACACAGGTCAGTGGTCAGTGTTCACAGGTCTGACACGTTTGAGTGCTTTAAGCTGATTTTGCCATGTGTTTCTTCACGTCAGGATGCTATTGCCAGACTTCAGGACCTGATCGCAGACGGTTCCCTTACAGGTACGAGTGTGTGACTTCATCCTGATGCAAAACACACACTTTACACCAGTGGTCTCAAACTCGCGGCCCGCGGGGTGATATTTTGTGGCCCCCTATTGACATTAAAGTTTAATGTTAGTGCGGCCCTTCGTTGCGTGTGCCGCGTTTTAATTATTATTATTTTTTATCCCTTATGGGCTACCATAGATAGTCTCGTGACAGCTTACAGTGGGTTTGTTGTCAATAGTTGTCATAGACAACCGCGAAGTACAAACATACTGCGCCTGGAAAAAACGAGCGCGTCGCTTCAATTATGAGCGCGCTTGCCGCGCGCCTACATTTGAAATAACGAACTTGAGCGCGCAAAATATGTGAGCGCGATGTGTGAACGGCCCCTTGTGTGTGAACGGAGCTATTGGTAGCTCGCGAGCGACGTGTTGGAGACCCCTGCTCTAAAACAATGTGAGAATAATCATTTTGAGCTTGTAATATGTGTCCAACAGGTTGATAAGAAGGTTTGCTTTGATTTGTGCAGTCAGTAATTTGAGACACTATACATGTGTAGAAAGAATTCAATAAGACGGGCAGACATGACTGCAAATATTTGTATTTCAAAAGCAAAAATTGTTTTTCTAAGTATAATAAAAGGAAATGTGCCTTCCAAAAAAAAACATTCAATATCATTAATGTGTTGTATAAAGAAAATAAAAAGGACATAAGCAAATATAAATATCACAAATATGTGTTATAGACAAAGAAAGTTTGTAAAATGAACTTCAACTGTCAGAAGGACAGCTCATGAAGAACCAATCATGTACAGAAAGGAATGTTCAAATTCAGGGGAACAGTTCAGAAGAAACGTTAATAATAAATATTGAGAAGATTGGATCAGTTGTGCTCCTTTTTTGTAACACTTTATTTTTTTGTGGAATACTTGATGCGGCCCAGCCTGAGCCAGACTCCACCTGCAGCGGCCCCCAGTTAAGCTGAGTTTGAGACCCCTGCTTTACATCATTACAGCCGTTCCTCAACCTTCCTGTTTTTTAGAGATGCACGATATATCGGCCACTATATCGGTATCGGCCGATATATGATAATTTTTAATGTTATCGGTATCGCCCGATAAGAAAATTTGTCTGATAAATAATGTATTATTTCCTTCAACTGAAACACTTCAGATGCGCACTGTTCAACATGATGAATTGCTTGAAATATGATTGAAATCACTTAAAAAAAAAAGGAAAATACATTTCAGTGCAAGTCTGTCATATCGGCTACATAACATTATCATGAGAACATCATAATTGTGTGACTGGGACATGGATTTTAATGGTGAGACTTTTGTTTTTGTGATCAGGCTCTCAAAAATTACAAAATAATTTGGATTTAGATTTATCGGCCGATATATCGGTTATCGACTTTCAAATATAAAGAATTATCGGTTATCAAAATTTCGATATCGGTGCATCCCTACTATTTTTAATACAACACATGGTTTCTGTTGGTCTTAAAGTCTTAATTCATATGTTCACAAATAACGGGCCTTATAGAAAAAAAAAAGAAGAAAAAAGTGGGCGGGGTTTGATTTTGTCCGTGGGGAATAGGTTGTGGTTTGCTATTGGTGGATCTCATGTGAGTGACAGGTTAAAGCCCCGCCCTCGTCATCAGAGAAGAGATCAGGAGGCTAGGGTTGCCAACTGTCCCGTATTTTGGGCCTAATTTTTGGGCCTCCCTTGTCCCGGTTAAATAGACGGCTACGCTGATCTGATCACTGACTGATACACCAGCAACACGACACTTGAGGATGATCACGACACCGTCATCATCCAATCACAGCGCTCCCTCATGCGCATCACACCGACCATACCAATAACAAACTCTACATTGAGAATTAATTATTCTTTTGGACAAATAATGGATTTGATTTGCGAACAGAATCTGCTGTCGTCGCTCCCGGTTCGATCCGGACTCGCGCTAACGGCTAATCCCTTCCACTGTCCGGCCGGGTTTAGATTTCGGCGAATTCAAACAAAGTGATTATTGTTCATGAGTCCGACATCCGGCCACGCTAGAATGAACTCTTCCCGAGGGAATAATATGCTGATGTGATTTGCTTCCCAATAAACATTTCTGATTATTATTAATGTTTTTTTTTTAAAAAAAGGTCAGGATTCTTTGATGAATAGAAGGTTCAAAGTAGATTTATCCGAAATAAAAATAAAAGCTTTTGTAACATTATAAATGTCTTCACTGTCACTTTTGATTAGGCTAGCTACTTTAATGCGTCCTTGCTGAATAACAGTAGGCTATTACTTTCTTTAATTTCTTTAAAATGTAGTGTATAATGTTACAAAAGCTTTCAGATAAATGCTATTATTTTGTACTATGGGTTGTGTGTAATGTGACTTTTTTGTATGACCTTAAAATTAGTTTTAGAATTAAATTGTACATAAATATGTTAAGCAAAACAAATGTGTTTATGTCTGAGAACCTTTTAAACGCATACAAACCTGAAATGATGACGTGTGATAGGCTAATATTTTGAGTGTCCCTTATTTTCCTGTAAAGAACCACGATTTCTGAAGTTGGCAACCCTACACGAGGCACATGAACTCTTCTCAGAATAATCTTGTGTTTGTCCAGGAGTGATCGACGACCGAGGGAAGTTTATCTTCATCACACCGGAGGAGTTGAGTGCTGTGGCTCAGTTCATCAAGCAGAGAGGAAGAGTGTCCATCTCTGAACTCGCTCAAGCCAGCAACACCCTCATAAACCTCACGCCCGACATCCAGAGCACACCAGCATAACATAAAGGGCTTTACGGACTCGTGAATCAAGTGGAAGCCAGCATATATCATTTATAGTCTGTAATGGCAGAACTATGGATAGAGCTCGTTTCTGCCACGGAGTAAAAGAATAAAAGAAAGGAAACTTTACATCTCACAATTCTGACTTTAATTCTTGCAATTTTTCAGAATTCTGTTTAAATCTCACAATTCAGAGTTTATACACTGCAAAAAATGCTTTTCTTATTTCGTTTTTTTGTCTTGTTTCCAGTCAAAATATCAAAAAAATTCTTAAATCAAGAAATGCTATTAGATATTATATCTTGTTTTCTGGGGAAATAAATCAAAATTAAGAGTTGCTGCTTAAAACAAGCTAAATTATCAACCAATGGGGTCAGAAAAATAATGTTCATTCAAACAGAAACAAGATTATTTTTCTGACTCCATTGGCAGATAACTTTGCCTTTTTTAAGCAAAAACTCACTTAATTTTGATTTATTTCCCCAGAAAACAAGACATAATATATCATGGCATTTTACTCATCTAGTAAATGCATCTTGATTTAAGAATTTTTTAGATATTTTGACTGGAAACAATAAAAAAATACTAATAAAAACAGTTTTTGCGGTGTCTCTCACAATTCTGATTTTAAAAAAAATAATTGCAAGGAAAAAAGCAGCAAATACCTTTTTTATTTTTTATTCCATGGCAGAAACAAGCTTTCATACAAAACCATCGCTCAGGACTCAAACCTGTGTGATATTTGCCTTATTTCAGCGCAGAGGAATCATTTTGAGTGCTTGAGAAGGAGATTGTATTTCATTTGTCTTACACACACATTTCAGACAGGGTTCTCACGCCTGTGGAAAACTGAAAACATGAGGGGATTTTAAAACTGATCACTGGAGTTTTGTTTTTCATAGTATATTTTTCTAGCAAGGATCAAGTCTACAATATTTCATGCACTGTTAAATGACGCTTAAGGCCTTTATCACAAACAACTGAAAAAGTCATGGATATTTATTGGTCAGACACTGGGAACCCTGTCACTGTTGGCTGTCCTGTCTAATAAAAAGCATCACAAACTGCAGTTGGTTTTATTTTAATGAGAATTTAAACCGGTAAGGCTTTTATTGTCTATTTCACCTTAAACTAGCTGATAATCTTTATTATTTAGATTCTCCCTAGCAGTATCGAATGAGAAACAGAAAGCATGCATATGAGGACTGCTATATTCCCGGCAGGAATTATAATTGGTTGTTTGGTTCGTGACATTAATTTCCCTGAAGCGAAACTTTTCTATTTGCACATCATTTTTGTATTGGTTTTAAAGATTTAAAAACACAGCCAGGTTTTAGATAAAGGATAGGATGTATTATACATTAGGATAAACAGAAAAAATAAATAAAATCAAAAGAACTCGCAGTCAGATGTCTCGTGTTGTGAATGAGTGTCTTGCATGTGTGCGTCGAGCCTGTAGAGGGCGCTGTGTGAGCGGAGCTGCGCTTGCGCAGTGTTCTTCTTCTGCTTATGTTGATTCGTTCCGTGTTTTAAACCACCACACTAGCTTTTATGTGTGCTGGAGATTTAAATAACTCGAGCAGAAGACATATCGTTCATCTTTATCCGTGTCCAGTATGAGAGGTGCAGAAAATCGACGCTTTGTTTAGCGTAGAGAATGTTTTATAGCGGTTATAATGTCACGAGCGATTCTGTGAGGAACGTCGTTTTCATTCGGTGACGTCACGCGGAACTCTGTCAGGTATTATTATTTAAATTTCATCTCTGTTTTGGTTTTGTTATCCTCGAATGGTTTGTAATGCTTAATATCGCTTACAGTACTGAGACCGGGGCTAGTTGTCACGTGATCTGGACCAAAGGGCAGGTTCGGGTTGTCACCTCTATGGTTGTCACGTGCTTGTTTTATGTTGTGATCTTGTAGTTTATTAATTACGTTACATTCTCTGTAGGATATACTATATATATATATAGACAGAGAGACTTTAAGGTTTGTGTCTTAACTGTAGTAAAAAAAAAAGACCTACCCTGAGAAATATTCCATAATATTCTCTAATGTGACAACTAACGTTAGCCCCAATCTTCTACACAAGTGCACTTTATGTGTGTCACCAGGGAGTAATAATGCTGGTGTTTCATTTTTATTTCTCCAAAGCTACTCTGTTTATGAGGAACCTTAAACGCTCAAAAATGTGCAAAAGCATTTTAATTCAGTGCGTAAGATGCATTAAATGTGCATTTTTTCCCTTGAATTATTGTTTCCACACTGAATGTGCTGCTTTTAACCCCATCTCTCCATCAGCATGACCCTGGCGTTGACCCCTGCGTCCGTGTGCCAGTGCTTCACTCTGGTGTCGCTGTGCACGTCCATCGCAGACCCAAACTGGATCCAGGTCCAGAACTCCTCCGATCCCGACAGCAAACTCATCTACGGCGTGGCCTTCACGATGCACGCGTACCAGAACCGCACGGACACAGGTTTGATCCGATACTTCTGGATTTTCCTATAAACAGTACATATGTAAGATATAACAGTATCAAATGTATTGCTCATTGCTATTTTAAAGAGCCCATATTATGCCTCTTCTAGAGCAGGTTTTCCTGCTTGAATGTTGATTATTCTCCTCATATTCTCCATTGTTGCGGCTCCTCTCTTCCCAGTCTGTCAGTAACGCTCTGTTTACTTCCTGTCTCTATGAAGCCCCTCCTCCTGAAAAGCACACTGTGCTCTGAATGGTCGGCTGGAGCAGTGTGTTGTGATTGGTCGAGCGCTTCGAATGGGTTTGGGAAATGTCCCGCCCCTTTCCATAACCTCCAGTTTAACACACTACTAACTAACTCAACCAGGCCCCGCCCCTTTATTCTGCATATGAATTATTATAATGAGGAATATTGAGACGTGTTCGTTCAAGTCGATCAAAACTAACTTTATCTGGACAATAACTTTATTCTAGAGCTGCTGTAAAGCCAAAACAATCTCTGTTACTGTAATCTCCTGTTGTCACTGTAAAGCTGCTGTGAAAGCGCTGTAGAAATGAAGGTGACCCGACCTGTTCTGATGTGTGTGTAGGTCCGTTGGGTGGTTTGCACGGATGGGGAATGGGGCTCCTGTATTCGCTGGCCGCTCTCTGTTACTGCGCCGTCTTGTTTTCAAGCTCCTCATTCCTGATGGATTTCCTTGGAGCATCTGTCAATCAATCCAAGCTGGTGACATCACTGCACGTCTCCACAGGTGACATCACTCAGCCTGAACACGAGTGTGATTAGAATCGTTCCTACAGTCAAACCAAAGTGTATTCAGACACCTTCAACATTTCTCACATTATCACAGTTTTAGATATTTGTACTGAAACAGGACAAAAATACATCTAGATTTAAGCATTTTTAGATGTTTGGACTGAAACAAGACAAAAATACATCTAGATTTAAGCATTTTTAGATGTTTGGACTGAAACAAGTCAAAAATACATCTAGATTTAAGCATTTTTAGATGTTTGGACTGAAACAAGTCAAAAATACATCTAGATTTAAGCATTTTTAGATATTTGGACTGAAACAGGACAAAAATACATCTAGATTTAAGCATTTTTAGATATTTGGACTGAAACAGGATAAAAATACATCTAGATTTAAGAATTTTTAGATGTTTGGACTGAAACAAGTCAAAAATACATCTAGATTTAAGCATTTTTAGATATTTGGACTGAAACAGGACAAAAATACATCTAGATTTAAGCATTTTTAGATATTTGGACTGAAACAAGACAAAAATACATCTAGATTTAAGAATATTTAGATGTTTGGACTGAAACAGGACAAAAATACATCTAGATTTTTAGCAATTTTAGATATTTGGACTGAAACAAGACAAAAATACATCTAGATTTTAGCATTTTTAGATATTTGGACTGAAACAAGACAATACATCTAGATTTAAGAATTTTTAGATGTTTGGACTGAAACAAGACAAAAATACATCTAGATTTAATCATTTTTACATATTTGGACTGAAACAAGACAAAAATACATCTAGATTTAAGAATTTTTAGATATTTGGACTGAAACAAGACAAATACATCTAGATTTAAGCATATTTAGATATTTGGACTGAAACAAGACAAATACATCTAGATTTAATCATTTTTACATATTTGGACTGAAACAAGACAAAAATACATCTAGATTTAAGCATTTTTAGATATTTGGACTGAAACAAGACAAAAATACATCTAGATTTAAGCATTTTTTAGATATTTGGACTAAAACAAAACAAAAATACATCTAGATTTAAGCATTTTTAGATATTTGGACTGAAACAAGACAAAAATACATCTAGATTTAAGCATTTTTAGATATTTGGACTGAAACAAAACAAAAATACATCTAGATTTAAGCATTTTTAGATATTTGGACTGAAACAAGACAAAAATACATCTAGATTTAAGAATTTTCAGATGTTTGGACTGAAACAAGACAAAAATACATCTAGATTTAAGCATTTTTAGATATTTGGACTGAAACAAAACAAAAATACATCTAGATTTAAGCATTTTTAGATATTTGGACTGAAACAAGACAAAAATACATCTAGATTTAATCATTTTTACATATTTGGACTGAAACAAGACAAAAATACATCTAGATTTAAGCATTTTTAGATATTTGGACTGAAACAAGACAAATACATCTAGATTTAATAATTTTTACATATTTGGACTGAAACTGGACAAAAATACATCTAGATTTAAGAATTTTTACATATTTGGACTGAAACAAGACAAAAATACATCTAGATTTAAGCATTTTTTGATATTTGGACTGAAACAAAACAAAAATACATCTAGATTTAAGCATTTTTAGATATTTGGACTGAAACAAGACAAAAATACATCTAGATTTAAGCATTTTTAGATATTTGGACTGAAACAGGACAAAAATACATCTAGATTTAAGCATTTTTAGATATTTGGACTGAAACAGGACAAAAATACATTTAGATTTAAGCATTTTTTGATATTTGGACTGAAACAAAACAAAAATAGATCTAGATTTAAGCATTTTTACATATTTGGACTGAAACAAGACAAAAATACATCTAGATTTAAGCATTTTTTGATATTTGGACTGAAACAAGACAAAAATGCATCTAGATTTAAGCATTTTTTGATATTTGGACTGAAACAAGACAAAAATGCATCTAGATTTAAGCATTTTTAGATATTTGGACTGAAACAAGACAAAAATACATCTAGATTTAATCATTTTTACATATTTGGACTGAAACAAGACAAAAATACATCTAGATTTAAGCATTTTTAGATATTTAGACTGAAACAAAACAAAAATACATCTAGATTTAATCATTTTTACATATTTGGACTGAAACAAGACAAAAATACATCTAGATTTAAGCATTTTTAGATATTTAGACTGAAACAAAACAAAAATAGATCTAGATTTAAGCATTTTTACATATTTGGACTGAAACAAGACAAAAATACATCTAGATTTAAGCATTTTTAGATATTTGGACTGAAACAAGACAAAAATGCATCTAGATTTAAGCATTTTTATATGTTTGGACTGAAACAAGACAAAAATACATCTAGATTTAAGCATTTTTAGATATTTGGACTGAAACAAGACAAAAATACATCTAGATTTAATCATTTTTACATATTTGGACTGAAACAAGACAAAAATACATCTAGATTTAAGCATTTTTAGATATTTAGACTGAAACAAAACAAAAATACATCTAGATTTAAGCATTTTTACATATTTGGACTGAAACAAGACAAATACATCTAGATTTAATAATTTTTACATATTTGGACTGAAACAAGACAAAAATACATCTAGATTTAAGAATATTTAGATATTTGGACTGAAACAAGACAAATACATCTAGATTTAAGAATTTTTACATATTTGGACTGAAACAAGACAAAAATACATCTAGATTTAAGCATTTTTTGATATTTGGACTGAAACAAGACAAAAATACATCTAGATTTAAGCATTTTTAGATATTTGGAATGAAACAAGACAAAAATACATCTAGATTTAAGCATTTTTAGATATTTGGAATGAAACAAGACAAAAATACATCTATATTTAAGCATTTTTAGATGTTTGGACTGAAACAAGACAAAAATACATCTAGATTTAAGAATTTTTAGATATTTGGACTGAAACAAGACAAATACATCTAGATTTAAGCATATTTAGATATTTGGACTGAAACAAGACAAATACATCTAGATTTAATCATTTTTACATATTTGGACTGAAACAAGACAAAAATACATCTAGATTTAAGCATTTTTAGATATTTGGACTGAAACAAGACAAAAATACATCTAGATTTAAGCATTTTTTAGATATTTGGACTAAAACAAAACAAAAATACATCTAGATTTAAGCATTTTTAGATATTTGGACTGAAACAAGACAAAAATACATCTAGATTTAAGCATTTTTAGATATTTGGACTGAAACAAAACAAAAATACATCTAGATTTAAGCATTTTTAGATATTTGGACTGAAACAAGACAAAAATACATCTAGATTTAAGAATTTTCAGATGTTTGGACTGAAACAAGACAAAAATACATCTAGATTTAAGCATTTTTAGATATTTGGACTGAAACAAAACAAAAATACATCTAGATTTAAGCATTTTTAGATATTTGGACTGAAACAAGACAAAAATACATCTAGATTTAATCATTTTTACATATTTGGACTGAAACAAGACAAAAATACATCTAGATTTAAGCATTTTTAGATATTTGGACTGAAACAAGACAAATACATCTAGATTTAAGAATTTTTACATATTTGGACTGAAACTGGACAAAAATACATCTAGATTTAAGAATTTTTACATATTTGGACTGAAACAAGACAAAAATACATCTAGATTTAAGCATTTTTTGATATTTGGACTGAAACAAAACAAAAATACATCTAGATTTAAGCATTTTTAGATATTTGGACTGAAACAAGACAAAAATACATCTAGATTTAAGCATTTTTAGATATTTGGACTGAAACAGGACAAAAATACATCTAGATTTAAGCATTTTTAGATATTTGGACTGAAACAGGACAAAAATACATTTAGATTTAAGCATTTTTTGATATTTGGACTGAAACAAAACAAAAATAGATCTAGATTTAAGCATTTTTACATATTTGGACTGAAACAAGACAAAAATACATCTAGATTTAAGCATTTTTTGATATTTGGACTGAAACAAGACAAAAATGCATCTAGATTTAAGCATTTTTTGATATTTGGACTGAAACAAGACAAAAATGCATCTAGATTTAAGCATTTTTAGATATTTGGACTGAAACAAGACAAAAATACATCTAGATTTAATCATTTTTACATATTTGGACTGAAACAAGACAAAAATACATCTAGATTTAAGCATTTTTAGATATTTAGACTGAAACAAAACAAAAATACATCTAGATTTAATCATTTTTACATATTTGGACTGAAACAAGACAAAAATACATCTAGATTTAAGCATTTTTAGATATTTAGACTGAAACAAAACAAAAATAGATCTAGATTTAAGCATTTTTACATATTTGGACTGAAACAAGACAAAAATACATCTAGATTTAAGCATTTTTTGATATTTGGACTGAAACAAGACAAAAATGCATCTAGATTTAAGCATTTTTATATGTTTGGACTGAAACAAGACAAAAATACATCTAGATTTAAGCATTTTTAGATATTTGGACTGAAACAAGACAAAAATACATCTAGATTTAATCATTTTTACATATTTGGACTGAAACAAGACAAAAATACATCTAGATTTAAGCATTTTTAGATATTTAGACTGAAACAAAACAAAAATACATCTAGATTTAAGCATTTTTACATATTTGGACTGAAACAAGACAAATACATCTAGATTTAATAATTTTTACATATTTGGACTGAAACAAGACAAAAATACATCTAGATTTAAGAATATTTAGATATTTGGACTGAAACAAGACAAATACATCTAGATTTAAGAATTTTTAACATATTTGGACTGAAACAAGACAAAAATACATCTAGATTTAAGCATTTTTTGATATTTGGACTGAAACAAGACAAAAATACATCTAGATTTAAGCATTTTTAGATATTTGGAATGAAACAAGACAAAAATACATCTAGATTTAAGCATTTTTAGATATTTGGAATGAAACAAGACAAAAATACATCTATATTTAAGCATTTTTAGATATTTGGACTGAAACCAGACAAAAATACATCTAGATTTAAGCATTTTTAGATATTTGGACTGAAACCAGACAAAAATACTAAGTAAGAAAAGCATTTTTTGCAGTCTGCCAAGATGAATTCATCAAGCATTGCATTTCTTCTACTAATGTGTGTGTTCCTCTCATTTCAGCGGTCAGCTGTGTGTCGGTGCTGGGTGTGTGTGTGGCGTGCATGTGTGTGATCAAACACAACCTGCAGCGAGGGAACCCCGGATCTCAGCCGAACCGCAGCCTGATCCCCGGGGAAAGCTTCTTCATCCAGATGTTGGGTTTGCTCTTCTCTCTCGCGGCGTGTGCTTTCGCCATCAAGGCTCAGCCAGAACCCGTCAGGTCATGTGACTACATGAGCGTGGGCGGAGACGACAGTGATACGGAGCCTCTGATTGGTCAAACTGAGAGGGAGGAGTAAAGTCGCATAGAGTTTAACCTCTTTAAAGTAAAGAGGTTCACTTGATTTATGCACTTTATTTCTTATGACGGGAAACAAACGCGATCGGACAAACACATGCAAAATTTGGCGTTTATGCAATTCAGGGAGAATTTGAGTTGAATTGGTCACACAGGATGTAGAATTGGAATGACAGGAAGTATTTATTTACTTAGTTACAGTTCAAAGAAATTCAAAACTTCATTGAGATAGCATGATACTGTAGTTTTTATAAATATTTTAAATACTTTTTAATATATTTTCCGTTTAGATTTTAATAATTTTTTTTGTCATTTCTTTGTTTTTTTAATGTCTGTGTTTTATTACAGTTTTAGTTAATTCAGTACATCAAGTTGAACTTAATGAAAAAAGATAAATGTTACTGAAATAAAAGGTTTGTTTTTTATATTTTATTTTATTTTGTTAAAATAAATTCAGTTAACGTTTGTTTTATTTTAAGCAACAACATTTTTTAATGCTTTAATTTTAGTTTCAGTTAACTATAATAACACTATTTATTTACTAAGTTAAAGTTCAAAGAAATTCAAAACATCTTTGAGAGAGTATGATAGTTTTTATTAATATTTAGGTTTTTATTTTTATATTTTCCGTTTTCATTTGAAAATTTTTTTTTTTTGTCATTTCAGGTTTTTTTTATGTCTGATTTTTATTTCAGTTTTAGTTATTTCAGTACATCAAGAACTAAATGAAAATGAGAAATTTTACTGAAATAAAATAAGTTTTTTATATTTAACTTTAATATATACATTCAGGTAATGTTTGTTTTATTTTAAACACCAACTTTTTTTTAATGCTTTAATTTTAGTTTCAGTTAACTATAATAACACTGAAACATATTTTGATAAAACACAATTAATTTAGACTAAATTACGTTTGTTTGCTTATATTTGTCTGAATTAATTTGCCATTTTTCTCTTTTGACTCTATTTCGAAATGTCAAATTCTGCTAAATGAAGTTGTCTACCATAATAATCCATAAAATCACATTTAATTTTTACAATAAGATTCACATTAGTAGTGACATTTTTACGTGACTTTTTAAGTGAAAAAAAAACACAGCTGCTATATATGAATTAAAAACGAATTTCTTAATTCTATAAATGCATAATCTAATTTTTCTTAAAAATAGCCTAATTTTTGTGTGATGGCGAGAACATATTTATGGGAAATATATAAAATATAATGTATAAAAAATATAGAAATTTAATGTTTTGGATTTTATTCTATTTTACTCTATTTTATTTGTGCACAGATAAAAAATAAATAACAATAGAATACAATGTGGGGGATAGGCAAAACAACTGTTAAGGGCTTATTTATTTATTTCACCTGAACAATATTTAATTAAATTATCTTAATTTACAATTCTGTATCCTGTTTGCAACTTCAATTACAATTCAGTTCAGTATTCAATATTGGCTCAATATTGGCTTCACTTCAGCACAACTACTATTATTACTGCCAGAATTATGGGAAATGTAGTTTTTCTGTAAGTATGATCATTCCAACATGACTTGAGGTGCTTCATGCAGTAAAACTCAGTTTACACTCGGACCAAATACAGAAACCACTAGTCAAGTCAAATCGAAGTCACACTCGATTTGTTTCAGGGGTTTGAGACCAGAATTACATGTGAACACTCTAAATGAACCCCTTTATACTCAAACAAACTCAACAGCCTTTATGCTGCATACTCATATTTAATATTCAATTCATGCATAAATAAGAGGAAATTATATAAAACTCAATATGATGTTGTATCTGACCAGGTGTGAACCGAAAGTAGACTGAGACCCGATTAGAATTCAAATGGACTAAACTGAGATCGGAGTCCGCTTTCTAATGCAGTGTAAAAGTTCTTATTCACTTCACCTAAAGGTGCACTATGTAAGAATTTTGCAGTAAAATATCCAAAAACCACTAGGCCAGTGTTATATATTTTGTTTAGTTGATTACTTACAATATCCCAAACGTTTCAAACTATTTGGAGATCGTGAGAAAATTGAGATTTTAACCAAGGAGCCAGTCGCCAGTCAATGACATCATATCCGCGTTACCCTCGGTTTCCGCGCGCACTGCCATAGTAACCATGGCGACAGACGTGGACAACAGCGTTACGGCTAGCGGCGCGCTCACACTGTTGTTGTTTTGTTCAAACATTTTGGACCATGGCAAGCAGACTTTGGGTCAAAAGGAGAACTAAACCGAGGATCAATATCGTTTTCGAGGTGCTGAGAGCTAGCGTCCGCGACTAACCTCGACTTGACAGAGACGCGAGCGCCGTCTCTGTCAAGAGTGTTTATGTACTTTATTAGAAAGGTGAGCAAATGTACATAAAACTAATCAATGTTATATAGCTCAACATGATGACATGTTAGAATATGATCTGTATGTTATTCTAATGTTGATATAGCGCACTGCTAGTCTCATACAGACAACAAACTAACGCATAGAATAACATTCAACACACTCGCGCGGCGCGCCCCGCTTCACACCACAGTCATGATAAAAACATCAATGTATTCACTCATACATAAACATTATTAGATCCATCAGCTTGACAACAAGTTCCATAATTCCGCTTAATGCTTTGCGTCATCAACCTACGCCTTTGTTGTTGTAAGAGGTTAGCGACCCCTAGCGGCGAAAAAATGACATAGTGCACCTTTAAAGGGAGAGTTTCGGATCTTGTAAAGACGAAAACTAAGTGTAAAGTGTGAAAGCTAAGATATTCAGGGCTGTTTTTCATCTTTTGGTTATTTCTGTGATTTCTGTGGATAAATGAATCAAACACCGATCCTCAGTGTGCCTTGAGATTCCTGGAAGAAGTTTTATTTTGTAACGTCACGTGTCTGAAAAGAGGTTTTAGAGCTGTTAAAGGGATACTTCAACCAAAAAAAAAAAAAAATTGTTATTTATTTGCCCTCGAGTTGTTCTAAACCTGTATGAAAAAATTACTATGGAAGTCAATGGGGTCCAAAAACGTTTTGATGACCAAATATATCTTCTTTTGTGTTCAACAGAAGAAAGAAGCTCTTACAGGTTTGGAACAACATGAAGATGAGTAAATAACTCTTAAAAAAATAATATGCAAATTTTTTTTTTTTAGGTGCACTGTCCCTTTAAATCACCTGCTCATCAACAAATAAGCTTTACGTTTTCTAGCTAACATTGATCTTAATGAATCAAATGAATTCTGTCTCATACTGTATTTGTATTTCCCTCTTTTAAACAGAATAATATTGTACCATTTGTCATTTGATATTCTGTTATTTCAGTGTAATTATGACGTATTTCCCTTTGAAGGAATTGTTCAACCCAAAATGAAAATTGTCATCATGTTGTACAAACCTTTCTTTCTTCTCATCGAGGAAATGATTATAAGCAAAAAAAATGATTTAAATGTGATACAAAAGATTCATAATGCACAGATCATATGGACTATTGTTATGATATATTTAGAGAGTGTAAATCTCATTTATGTGCATTTTTGAACGAATCTCACTGCATATTTCACAATAATCGTTCATTTTGAGACATGGCAAACACTGTGATTTCAAAAAATATAAATACTCACTGTGTTTAAAGAGGACGTGTACAATTTTTAGTCATGTCTGGTGAAGCCATTGCATTTAATTGTGTGAAATACACAAAAAAAAAGATCATAATCATTGTTTTTTGTCCAAAGTTGAGCTGGAAACGTCTTAATGATCTGGACCGTTCACTAAATGAACCTTCATGGTAACAGTGGAATCATGGGACGTCGTGCCTTAATTTCTCAGCTCTAATTAGACTCGTTCTCCTTCGTCACATGACACCAGCTTGCGCTCCCATTGGATGGTGACCATCGCCATAGTAACCTTGAGAAGTTGTTGATGTCACTGATGAATTTGTGAATGGGGAGAGAGAAAAATTAATGTGATGTTTATCAACTACATTAGTTTTTCGTAAGTTATGCATGTTGAACCATGATTAAGGTCTGAACTGAATGGTAGAATAGAAATGATGTAGAATTGAAGGAAAGCTGATGTTTGCACTGAAAGGACCGTGTTTATTATCATCATCTCAAATGTTTCATGAGTTTGTTCTTAAAGCAACGCATGCATAATATATATTCGTTCTGATGATGTCATTTATGCCTGATGAATCTTTGCACATTTAAATGAAGATAATGCTTTGAACAATACAACGATCTCACTTTATTTCCTTTATCTTACTAATGAAAAGCTGTTTACAATTATGGTTGCATTTGTTAACATTGACAATATTCTCACAGCATTTATTAATCTGTTAATGTTAGTTAAGATACAATTGTTCTTTGTCCATGTTGGTTAAAAAATACACTTATTTTAACAGATACAACTTTTGATTTTAATAATGCAATTAATCATTTAATAACCTCAACCCCTATTTAGACTGTAAAAAATGATTCAGATAAATTCTAACCCACACCAAAAAACAATAACATGGTAACACTTTATTTTACAGTGACATTGTTACATATGTTACATTGTTACTCCAGGAATAACTATAAATTATGCATAATTACACGCAACTAAACCAAACCAAACCCCTATAGTAAGTACATGTAGTTAATTATTATTAAAGTCCCCCTGTAGTCAATAATTGTATCCCTTAAAACTCATCTTTGATCACCACAATGACATATTTAAACGTTTTTTGCCTTAAATGCCTTAAAATATCTTGAATGTAACTCGACACCCTCGCCTCATTTAGTATGCGCGGTTCTATGAATATGCAAATGAGCCCCGCCTCCACTCACTCCCTCAGCTCAGAGATCCACTGGTTGACGATCACACGTTGATCTGATTGGTTACAAGGTCGTTTGTGACGTCAGAAACACCAGCGATTTCAAACCGTGTTTTTGAGACTGTCTTTGGTTCACTGCAGTTTTAAGCAGAAAATACTCAGCAATGCTGTCGACTTATGAACTTACACACGGTGTGTCTTAAAGCGTATTAAAAACACCACATACACACATAAACATCATTAAAAGCTGGATTTTCACCACAGGGGGACTTTAAATGTGTAATTACAGTGTAACAAAGACACCTCAAAACAAAGTGTAACCAAAAACATAAATCTAAAATTAGTTCCTATGAAGTTACATATATTTTTCCTACTCTTGCACTCTTAAATGTATTTGTTTATTTAATTTTTAATCTAATTAATAACTAACATGTTTTACAGTTTGTCCTATTGTTAGTTTAACTGCTTATATTGTTCTCATTTGTAAGTTGCTTTGGATAAAAGCATCTGCTAAATGAATGAATGTAAATGTAGTAATAAGAGTATATTATGCATAATTATAATCCTCAACCAAAACCTAATGCTAACCTAACCCTATAAGTACATGTAGTAAATTATTATTACTCAGTAGTACTTAAATATGTAATTACACTGTAACACAGACACCTTAAAATAAAGTGTAACCGAATTTATTTATTTAATGAAATCTTAGTATTTATTTACAGTTTTCCTGTCACTCCCTTGCTAGTCCCCTGAACTCCAGTTTGATGTTATATTTGTATATTATAATGTTTAAATGATATGCGTGAAGGGGGCGTGGCTGCCCGTGTCCAAAAAGGGGGCGGGGCTCAGGTGGGTGTGTCTCTCAGCTGATGCGCGCCGCCTTTCTCGCGCTCGCGCACTTCATCTCCAACGCGGGCGTCAGCGGCAACGCATCGCGTTCGTTCGTTCGTTCGTAACGGCAGATCAGCATCCGAACGAACGGACAGACACACGGACTGACGGATCCGCGGTGAGACAGTGAGTAAGTGTGTGTGTGTGTGTGTGTGAGATGGAGAGACTCGAGTCACTGGATGCTGCTGTTGTCATGGAGGGATGCGGATTCAGTGATGCATCATTTTGCATGAGCAGAAACACGCATTATGTAATGCGATCAGGTGAACGATGGATCTTCATTGAGCACCCGTCGTTAAATGCACAATTTATGATGTTATTATGATAAACGCAAGGCTATTGAACGCGTCGGTCACTGATCAGTGGCATCACTAGGCCTATTCACTGATGCTGTAAATGCTTGTTAATAGATCATGTTGCGCGAGCCGCTTCGAAAGGTGAAGATGCGTTTTTAGTGCAGATATAGTGAGATGTCATTTTTAAAGCACGAGGGCTGTGTGTGTGTGTGTGTACAGGTCTCCATCTCCTGTTTTTACTGCCCATGTTGTGTGTTTTCTTTGCGGTGCGCGCGTCTGATGCATCAACACTGCATGTTTACATTTAGGCATCGCGTTTGCGTTTGTGCCATCGAGTTATAAGCGTATGCGGTGATTATTAAACAGTGTATCGGGGTATTTAAGTGTGTGTGTTGGATTTATGAAGCATGTGAGCGATGATGTAATGCCAGTGAGTGAGTGACTGTGGTAGTAGAGGCACGTGCCAGTGCTGATCTGATCCAGTAATGGTGGCTCTGCTGGACCAGTGATGCCACTGCACATCGTTTGCAATGGCATAGAGTTTATAGAATAGTAGAGCATGTGCACATTGTGTTCTTTTACAAAAAACAACAATGTTGGACATGCACAATGGTATTCTTTGAAGCACCTTCGGAGGGCTGTGTGAATAGCCTACAAATATGGAAATCATCTGTGTTTATCAAAATGCCAAGATATATAAATATGATACCATTACTGCACCGTGGTACTGTCATGTGCTTGAGAACTGATCAGTTGAATGTTGCTATATTCTTACACTGTTCATTTTTAGGGATGCATGATATATCGGTATCAGTGATATCTGTTTATTTTTAATGTTATCGTTATCGGCCCAATAAGAACATTTGTTTGATCTTCCGATAAATAGTGTATTATTTCCTTCAGCTGAGACGCTTCAGATGCGCACTGTTCAACATGATGGTTTTGAATTACTTGAAATATGATTGGAATCACTTAAAAAAATGAAAATACAGTTCAGTGCAACATGTGCAGCGCAAGCCTGTCATATCGGCTACATAAAACTATAATGAGAACTTTCTAACTGTGTGATTTGGACATGGATTTAATGGTGAGACAGACTTTTGTTTTTGAAATCAGGCTCTCAAAAATTATATAAAAATTTGGACTTATCGGCCAATATATCGGTTATCGGCTTTTAAATATAAAGAATTATCGGTATAGACCAAAATTTTGATATCAGTGCATCCCTATTCATTTTATTGCTACATTGTTCTTACCCTTGCAAACTGGTAATTATGGTATCAAAAGTCAGGGATCTCAATATGAACTCTAATATTTCTCATCAGATGGTGTGAGCTGCTCACATTCATTTTTAGCTTTTGTAATATTTCAGTCTATTTCTTATTACCTTTTCTTTAAAGGGATAGTTCACCTAAAGATTTAAATTCTGTCATTTACTCACCCTCATGTCGTTCCAAACACGTAAGACTTTTGTTCGTCTGCCGAAAACAAATAAGATATCCATATGAATTCAGTGGTTTAGTAAAAAATTCAAATGTTCTGTGTAACACGAGAATGAACCTCATTGGTTCTTGCTGATGCTCAAACGTGATGCGTAACACGAGAATGATCCTCATTGGTTCTTGCTGAAGCTCAAACGTGCTGCGTAACACGAGAATGAACCTCATTGGTTCTCGCTGATGCTCAAACGTGATGCGTAACACGAGAATGATCCTCATTGGTTCTTGCTGAAGCTCAAACGTGCTGCGTAACACGAGAATGAACCTCATTGGTTCTCGCTGATGCTCAAACGTGATGCGTAACACGAGAATGAACCTCATTGGTTCTTGCTGATGCTCAAACGTGATGCGTAACACGAGAATGAACCTCATTGGCTCTTGCTGATGCTCAAACGTGATGCGTAACACGAGAATGATCCTCATTGGTTCTTGCTGATGCTCAAACGTGATGCGTAACACGAGAATGAACCTCATTGGTTCTTGCTGATGCTCAAACGTGATGCGTAACACGAGAATGAACCTCATTGGTTCTTGCTGATGCTCAAACGTGCTGCGTAACACGAGAATGAACCTCATTGGCTCTTGCTGATGCTCAAACGTGATGCGTAACACGAGAATGAACCTCATTGGTTCTTGCTGATGCTCAAACGTGATGCGTAACACGAGAATGAACCTCATTGGTTCTTGCTGATGCTCAAACGTGATGCGTAACACGAGAATGAACCTCATTGGCTCTTGCTGATGCTCAAACGTGATGCGTAACACGAGAATGATCCTCATTGGTTCTTGCTGATGCTCAAACGTGATGCGTAACACGAGAATGAACCTCATTGGTTCTTGCTGATGCTCAAACGTGATGCGTAACACGAGAATGAACCTCATTGGCTCTTGCTGATGCTCAAACGTGATGCGTAACACGAGAATGAACCTCATTGGTTCTTGCTGATGCTCAAACGTGCTGCGTAACACGAGAATGAACCTCATTGGCTCTTGCTGATGCTCAAACGTGATGCGTAACACGAGAATGAACCTCATTGGTTCTTGCTGATGCTCAAACGTGATGCGTAACACGAGAATGAACCTCATTGGTTCTTGCTGATGCTCAAACGTGATGCGTAACACGAGAATGAACCTCATTGGCTCTTGCTGATGCTCAAACGTGATGCGTAACACGAGAATGATCCTCATTGGTTCTTGCTGATGCTCAAACGTGATGCGTAACACGAGAATGAACCTCATTGGTTCTTGCTGATGCTCAAACGTGATGCGTAACACGAGAATGAACCTCATTGGTTCTTGCTGATGCTCAAACGTGATGCGTAACACGAGAATGAACCTCATTGGTTCTTGCTGATGCTCAAACGTGCTGCGTAACACGAGAATGAACCTCATTGGCTCTTGCTGATGCTCAAACGTGATGCGTAACACGAGAATGAACCTCATTGGTTCTTGCTGATGCTCAAACGTGATGCGTAACACGAGAATGAACCTCATTGGTTCTTGCTGATGCTCAAACGTGATGCGTAACACGAGAATGAACCTCATTGGCTCTTGCTGATGCTCAAACGTGATGCGTAACACGAGAATGATCCTCATTGGTTCTTGCTGATGCTCAAACGTGATGCGTAACACGAGAATGAACCTCATTGGTTCTTGCTGATGCTCAAACGTGCTGCGTAACACGAGAATGAACCTCATTGGCTCTTGCTGATGCTCAAACGTGCTGCGTAACACGAGAATGATCCTCATTGGTTCTTGCTGATGCTCAAACGTGCTGCGTAACACGAGAATGAACCTCATTGGCTCTTGCTGATGCTCAAACGTGATGCGTAACACGAGAATGAACCTCATTGGCTCTTGCTGATGCTCAAACGTGATGCGTAACACGAGAATGAACCTCATTGGTTCTTGCTGATGCTCAAACGTGCTGCGTAACACGAGAATGAACCTCATTGGCTCTTGCTGATGCTCAAACGTGATGCGTAACACGAGAATGAACCTCATTGGTTCTTGCTGATGCTCAAACGTGCTGCGTAACACGAGAATGAACCTCATTGGCTCTTGCTGATGCTCAAACGTGATGCGTAACACGAGAATGAACCTCATTGGCTCTTGCTGATGCTCAAACGTGATGCGTAACACGAGAATGAACCTCATTGGTTCTTGCTGATGCTCAAACGTGCTGCGTAACACGAGAATGAACCTCATTGGCTCTTGCTGATGCTCAAACGTGATGCGTAACACGAGAATGAACCTCATTGGCTCTTGCTGATGCTCAAACGTGATGCGTAACACGAGAATGAACCTCATTGGTTCTTGCTGATGCTCAAACGTGATGCGTAACACGAGAATGAACCTCATTGGTTCTCGCTGAAGCTCAAACGTGATGCGTAACACGAGAATGAACCTCATTGGTTCTTGCAGAGGCTCAAACGTGCTGCGTAACTTGAGAATGAACCTCATTGGTTCTTGCAGAAGCTCAAACGTGCTGCGTAACACGAGAATGAACCTCATTGGTTCTTGCTGAAGCTCAAACGTGCTGCGTAACACGAGAATGGACCTCATTGGCTCTTGCTGATGCTCAAACGTGATGCGTAACACGAGAATGAACCTCATTGGTTCTTGCAGAAGCTCAAACGTGCTGCGTAACACGAGAATGATCCTCATTGGTTCTTGCTGATGCTCAAACGTGATGCGTAACACGAGAATGAACCTCATTGGTTCTTGCAGAAGCTCAAACGTGCTGCGTAACACGAGAATGATCCTCATTGGTTCTTGCAGAAGCTCGAACGTGATGCGTAACACGAGAATGAACCTCATTGGTTCTTGCAGAAGCTCAAACGTGCTGCGTAACACGAGAATGAACCTCATTGGTTCTTGCTGAAGCTCAAACGTGCTGCGTAACACGAGAATGAACCTCATTGGTTCTTGCTGATGCTCAAACGTGATGCGTAACACGAGAATGAACCTCATTGGTTCTTGCTGAAGCTCAAACGTGCTGCGTAACACGAGAATGAACCTCATTGGTTCTTGCTGATGCTCAAACGTGATGCGTAACACGAGAATGAACCTCATTGGTTCTTGCAGAAGCTCAAACGTGCTGCGTAACACGAGAATGAACCTCATTGGCTCTTGCTGAAGCTCAAACGTGCTGCGTAACACGAGAATGAACCTCATTGGTTCTTGCAGAGGCTCAAACGTGCTGCGTAACACGAGAATGAACCTCATTGGTTCTTGCTGAAGCTCAAACGTGCTGCGAAACACGAGAATGAACCTCATTGGCTCTTGCAGAAGCTCAAAGTGCTGCGTAACACGAGAATGAACCTCATTGGTTCTTGCTGAAGCTCAAACGTGCTGCGTAACACGAGAATGATCCTCATTGGTTCTTGCTGAAGCTCAAACGTGATGCGTAACACGAGAATGATCCTCATTGGTTCTTGCTGAAGCTCAAACGTGCTGCGAAACACGAGAATGAACCTCATTGGCTCTTGCAGAAGCTCAAAGTGCTGCGTAACACGAGAATGAACCTCATTGGTTCTTGCTGAAGCTCAAACGTGCTGCGTAACACGAGAATGATCCTCATTGGTTCTTGCTGAAGCTCAAACGTGCTGCGTAACACGAGAATGATCCTCATTGGTTCTTGCAGAAGCTCAAACGTGCTGCGTAACACGAGAATGAACCTCATTGGCTCTTGCAGAAGCTCAAACGTGCTGCGTAACACGAGAATGAACCTCATTGGTTCTTGCAGAAGCTCAAACGTGCTGCGTAACACGAGAATGAACCTCATTGGCTCTTGCTGAAGCTCAAACGTGCTGCGTAACACGAGAATGAACCTCATTGGCTCTTGCTGAAGCTCAAACGTGCTGCGTAACACGAGAATGAACCTCATTGGTTCTTGCAGAAGCTCAAACGTGCTGCGTAACACGAGAATGAACCTCATTGGTTCTTGCTGATGCTCAAACGTGCTGCGTAACACGAGAATGAACCTCATTGGTTCTTGCTGATGCTCAAACGTGCTGCGTAACACGAGAATGAACCTCATTGGCTCTTGCTGAAGCTCAAACGTGCTGCGTAACACGAGAATGAACGTACGTCTCGCACGTCAAGCAAACATGCTTGTGCTTCCGTTTACCACAACTAATGTGTGAGATGATGAAGACTAAGAGCAAATCAAGCATGCAGTTATGATGCGTGTTCAGTTTGATTGACATAAGTATCACATGAATTGCAAAAAAAAAAAAAAAGTTTCTTATGCAATTTGTTTTCACAAATGTAAGCTGTCAAGATCAGAATAGAAAATTTTATTGATTTACTGTGATTTTTTCAACATTTCGAAACGGATGTCTCATTAAGCCGAATGTAAACTAGTTTGCAGGATTTACAAGCACAATCACACATCAGAATCACGTCAGATTATCTGTGGTTGGTTAATGTTTAACTCCAGATAACATATTAATCAGGGTGCAGTTTCGGTGAAACAGATCCGTGTTGGTGTTTACATGCGCTTCACGAGACTCTCAGCTGGAGAAGCTCTTTACTGTGTTTTTCTTTTATTTGTTATGAGAACTTGCAGTCGGGTTTTTTAAGGAGGTCTAATAAACGTTTAACATGAGGAGGAAGAAGTTCTGCTTTTCTAATTCTCAAGGGACGCACGTATGTCGTTTATTCACAGCTATATTTCCTTTTTATATTTCCTTTTCTTTAACTGTCAGCATAATATTAATTTATTATGTTGGGTTGAGAAAGCCAACATCCTGATCTACTACTCAAGATTTGTATTATTCTTCTGAGACTAAAAGTTCTAAATGTATCTATCTATCTATCTATCTATCTATCTATCTATCTATCTATCTATCTATCTATCTATCTATCTATCTATCTATCTATCTATCTATCTATCTATCTATAGATAAATGTGGTCTTTATACATTAAAATATTTACATCACTATTTAAAAGTTTGGGGTCAGTAAGATTCTTTTTGTTGTTGTTAAAAGAAACTAATAATTTTATTCAGCAAGGATACATGAAATTGATCAAAAGTGATAGTAAAGAGTTGTTCTTTTTCTTTCTATGTATCAAAGAATCCCGAAAAATAAAATGCATCACGATTTCCACAAAAATCTCTTTTCAACATTAAGCATAATAATCATAAATGTGTCTTGAGCATCAGATCCTCATATTAGAGTGATTTCTGAAGGATCATGTGACACTGAAGACTGGAGTAATGATGCTGAAAATTCAGCTTTGATCACAGGAATAAATTACACTTTACTATGTATTCACATAGAAAACATTTGATTTACATTATAATAATATTTCACTGTTTTTACAATATTTTTTTTATTAAATACAACGCAGCCTTAGTGAGCAGAAGAGACTCTTTCGTGAATTGTACCGACCCCAAATTTCATATATTTGAGGATTGGTGCATGTAACTTCTGCTGGTGTTTTTGTGTTGCAGTGTGTGTGTGTGTGTGTGACCCGGTTCACGTCTCCTTCATGCCTGTGTGTGCTCAAAGTGCTGTGGTGTAAAAAGGTCGCATTAGCAATTAAAGAAAAAACACTTTAAGGGTTAGTTCACTCAAAAATGTAAACTCTGTCAGTAATTACTCTCCCTCATGTTGTTCAACCCCGTAAGACTTTCGTTCATCTTCAGAACACAAATTAAGATATTTGTGATTAAATCTGAGAGCTGTCTCACTCCTCCATAGGCTTCTATTGTAATTAAACTTGCCGGCCCAGAAAGTTATTAAAGACATCGTTAAAATAGTCCGAGTGACTACAGTGGCTCAACCTTAAGTTTATCAAGCGACGAGAATACTTTTTGTGCGCAAAAAAACAAACAAAAATAGTGACTTTATTATTACAACTGTTCATTTTCTTCTCTGTGGGCCTCGAGTGAGTTCACGTAGTGTAACAGCGCAGCGCTTCTGGGTTGTACGTCACACGTAGGCTCACTATTGGCCGACGCTGGTCATGTGTGTGATGCTGGCCAATAGTGAGCCTACGTTCTGACGTACAACCCAGAAGCGCTGCGCTGTTACACCTCTCACCATATTTGGTGTCTGAATATTTTTTGGTTTGACTGTAAATCTAGGAGTCGTGCATATAACGTCTGCTGGTGTGTTTGTGTTGCAGTGTGTGTGTGTGTGACCCGGCTCCCGTCTCCTTCATGCCCGTGTGTGTGGGCAGTGGAGTGAAGCGCTCGAGGCTCCTGGCATGGGCAGCGTAGGGAGCGGGGCCTCCAGTCAACGGCCCATCACCATGCGTAGCGTTGGCACCCGTACCACCCCGAACGGCCCGCTGGCACCGGCACCGGCCCCGGCCCCGCCCCCCGCCTCGACCCGCCGGCGCCTGGACGACCGAAGCTTCAGCGCCGACCGAATCCCCGGCCCAAACACCAAGACCAAAGGCGTCTGCGCCGACGAGAGGGATTACGCTCGCAACGCTAACCGGCAGCACACGGTCAACGGCGAGAGGCTCGTGACCAACGCGGTGTTCGCTAACGGGGCGCGCCGAGACGGGCACCGGCGCGGGGAGAGTCTGGATCTGTGCGGGAACAACGTCGTGTTGAACAACGACAGGAATCATCAAGCTCCAACGCTGCACAAGGACAAGAGCAAAAGCAAACCTGATAATCACAATCCTCCCAACATACTGCCCGTCTCTGGGAAACTCGAGCATGCACAGGTACTAACGGTCTTTCCTTTATCATTTTAGCACTTAAATCACTTAAATTACTTATTTAAATGTTTTTTCCTTTTAAAAAAATTCTTCATGCCTAAAAATAGCTTGAATGTAACTCGACACCCTTGCCTCATTTAGTATGCGCGGTTCATCAACAGCATTCCTGAGTATTTTCTGCTTAAAACTGCAGTGAACCGAAGACAGTCTCAAAAACACTGGTGTTTCTGACGTCACAAACGACCTTGTAACCAATCAGATCAACGTGTGATCGTCAAAAACTTGAGCATGCACAGGTTTAACTCTATAATGTTCTTTCCTTTATAATTTGATCCTTTAAAAACTCGTCTTTGATCACTAAAATGACATATTAAACGTTTTTTTTTCTTGAAAAATGCCTTAAAATATCTTGAATGTAACTCGACACCCTTGCCTCATTTAGTATGCGCGGTTCTATGAATATGCAAATGAGCCCCGCCTCCACTCACTCACTCAGCTCAGAGATCCACTGGTTGACGATCACACGTTGATCTGATTGGTTACTCGACACATTTGCCTCATTTACACTGAACAAAATTATAAACGCAACACTTGTTTTTGCCCCCATTTTTCATGAGCTGAACTCAAAGATCTAAGACTTTTTCTATGTACACAAAAGGCCAATTTCTCTCAAATATTGTTTACAAATCGGTCTAAACTGTGTTAGTGAGCACTTCTCCTTTGCCGAGATAATCCATCCACCTCACAGGTGTGGCATATCAAGATGCTGATTACACAGCAGGATTATTGCACAGGTGTGCCTTAGGGCTGTCCACAATAAAAGGCCACTCTTAAAAAAAGTTTTTAAGAATTTCACATTTTAGTTCACTTTTTAAAACTTTTGTCACTTCAGCAATAATCTGCCAAGTGTCGTGTTTGAGAAGAGATCAAATATATTCGTATATAAATAATAGTATAATGTTATTTGTATATTTAATGCTGCAGTTCCTGCGGTTTGTCTCTCCAGACCAATGACTCTCTGGTGCGTCCGTCGGCCTTCAAACCCGTGGTGCCGAAGAGCTTTCACTCCATGCAGAACCTGGTGTGTCCCCTCCAGACGGGCTCCGGCTCGGCTCCGGGTCCGAGTGGTGTCGGCGCCGGCGGGTCCGAAGCGGGTCCGAACCAGGACAGTCCCGGCAGCCGAGGAACACACACGGGCCCGGGCCTCTCGGACTCGGGGAGGAACTCTCTCACAAGCCTTCCCACGTACACCGGGTCCGGTTACGGTCCGGCTCCGGCTCTCGGGCCCCTCAGCGCCTCCACCAGCCACATCAACCGGCTCGGCACCGGCGTCCCGGATAAACCGGGCTTCCAGAACGGGCTCAGCGCGTCGGACAGCGGGCGCTCGTCCTCGGGGAAGAGCTCGTCCTCGTACCAGCGCCTCAGTCACATGAGCGACGGCCCCGGACCCCTGAGGCCCTCCCCGAACTCAGACGACGTCATCCAGGACCTTGAGGACCGGCTGTGGGAGCGAGAGCAAGAAGTGAGTGAGGTGACACAACCTTTATATGATCCTTTTACATCCAGCCCACATGCAAGTCTTTATTTATATATTCGTTCATTCATTCATTCATTTTCTTTAATTTTGTATACACCATTGGATATTTATTTATTTATTTAATTTGTATACACCATTGGATATTTATTTATTTATTTAATTTGTATACACCATTGGATATTTATTTATTTATTTAATTTGTATACACCATTGGATATTTATTTATTTATTTAATTTGTATACACCATTGGATATTTATTTATTTATTTAATTTGTATACACCATTGGATATTTTATTTATGTATTTAATTAATTAATTTGTATACACCATTGGATATTTATTTATTTATTTAATTTGTATACACCATTGGATATTTATTTATTTATTTAATTTGTATACATCATTGGATATTTATTTATTTATTTAATTTGTATACACCATTGGATATTTATTTATTTATTTAATTTGTATACACCATTGGATATTTTATTTATGTATTTAATTAATTAATTTGTATACACCATTGGATATTTTATTTATTTAATTTTTTTATTTTTAATTGTAATTTTAATTTTTTATTTTTTATGATTATTTTCTTATTTTTTACTTTAAGGCTAAATGGCAAGTTAAATTTTACTCTTTATTTATATATTCATTCTTTCATTCATTCATTTTCATTAGTTTTGTATACACTATTGAATATTTAATTTATTTAATTTATTACATTTGTATACACCAATGGATTTTTTAATTATTTTATTTTATTTTATATACACCATTGAATATTTTATTTATTTTATTTGAATAAGTGAGTGAGGTGACAACTTTTATATGCTAGTTTTACATCGAGGCTACATGGCAAGTTTAATTTTACTTTTTTTTATTATATATATATATTAGGGCTGTCAAATGATTAATCGTGATTAATCACATCCAAAATAAAAGTTTTTTTTACATAATATATGTGGGTGCACTGTGCATAATTATTTTATATATATAAATACACACACATGCTTGTATATATGTAAGAAATATTTTCATGTATATACTGTATATAGATTTATATATAATTTATATTATATATAAATATAAATATTTTATATATAAATAATATTTTTTCTTAAATATACATGCATGTGTGTGTATTTATATATATACAAAATAATTATACACAGTGCACCCACATATATTATGTAAAATAAACTTTTATTTTGGATGTGATTAATCGTGATTAATCATTTGACAGCCCTAATATATATATATTCATTCATTCATTTTTTATACACCATTGAATATTAATTTATTACATTTGTATACACCATTGGATATTTATTTATCTTAAGGCTAAATGGCTAGTTAAATTCACTCTTTAATATATTCATTCATTCATTCATTCATTTTCTTTAATTTTGAATACACCGTTGAATATTTATTTATTTATTTATTTTTTAATTTGTATACACCATTGAATATTATTATTTTTTTATGTTTTAAAATTTGTTTACACCATTGGATATTTTATTTATTTAATGTATTACAATTGTATACACCATTGGATATTTTATTTTATTTATTTTAAGGCTAAATGGCAATTAAAATTTTACTCTTTATTTTAATATTCATTCATTCATTCATTTTCCTTAATTTTGTATACACACCATTAAATATTTAATTTATTTTAATTTATTAAATTTGTATACACCATTGGATATTTATTTATTTATTTTATTTTGCATGCACATTGGATATTTTCCATTGAGGCTGAATTGCAAGTTAAATTCACTCTTTATTTAAAGTCGCTCTGAATAAAAGTGTTTGCTGAATGACAGTGAGATTTACTGTACTTGCCGGAACTTATTTTTACACTGTCTTTTATCACCACCAGAAACTGTTTATAATCAATGACAAAAATCAAGATTGCAAAACATGACATTTTAATGTTGGAATTGGAGAATGGTGTTTGCTTTTACTTTTATTTTATTTAATTTTATGCATATATATATATAGGTTTTTTTTTTTTTCAATTTTATTTATATAGCACATTTACAACAAAAATCAAAGTGCTTTACAGAACAACGATTATTTAATTTCTTTTATTTTGCATACACATTGGATTTTTTTTTTTTTTTTTTTTGCATACATATTGGATATTTTTTTTTATTTAATTTTGCATACACCATTGGATATTTTACTTATTTATTTATTTTATTAATTTGTATACACCAGTGAATATTTTATTTATTTATTTAATTTGAATACACCATTGGATGATTTATTTCTTTATTTTATTTTGCATGCACATTTTATTTATTTTATAAAAAAAATTATACATTTAAAAAATTATTTATTTATTTGTTTATTTATTTATTTTAAATTAATTAATTTGTGTACACCATTGAATATTTTATTTATTTAATTAATTAATTTAATTTGAATACACCATTGGATCTTTTTTTTTTATATTTAATATTATTAATTTTCTTTACTTTTGCATAGACCATTGAATATGTTTAAAATGTTTCATTGGATGAATTGCACTCATATAAATGTGTGAAGGTAAGTCAAAGAAAGTCAATCAATGCAACATTTTAAAATGTCCTTTTGTTTAGCAGGGGAAAAATTGTTAGATTATAAATAAAACAGCCATTTTTCTGTTTATAATCTAATCAGTTTGTGTTGTTCCAGGAAGTAGCATCAATTACCAATTAGGTTATAAGCATTCTATATGCAAGTATAGAAATGCTTGGCATAATACATGCAATTTTATACTATAGTAGCTTTAACAAACCTCAGGACAGATCCTGAGGTTTCCTTCAAATGTCAGTGTCAGTAACCCAGAAGATGCATGTGTTGCATTATGAATCTGACACATGACATTTGAGAATGCACCTATGCCTGAAATGAAGAGTGTGTTGTGCTGTGTTTTGTCCTCGCCTCAGGTGATCCACATGCGGCGTAACCTGGACCAGAGCGAGGCGGCCATCGCCCAGGTGTTCGAGGAGAAGCAGCGCGTGTGGGAGCGAGAGATGGAGGACCTGAGGCAGAACTACGCCGGCCGGCTGCAACAGGTGATGCGCAACGCACACTTCTGTCCATTTACATTTATTCATTTTTAGCATTGAGTAATTTATTTGTAATAAACACTTTAAAGGGATAGTTCACCCAAAAATGTTAATTAGCCCATGATTTAGTCGAAGTCGTCCTAGGTGTATAAGACACTTTTATCATGGACAGATGCACTTTTATGATGGACAGATGCACTTTTATGATGGACAGATGCACTTTTATGATGGACAGATGCACTTTTATGATGGACAGATGCACTTTTATGATGGACAGATGCACTTTTATGATGGACAGATGCACTTTTATCATGGACAGATGCACTTTTATGATGGACAGATGCACTTTTATGATGGACAGATGCACTTTTATGATGGATAGATGCACTTTTATGATGGATAGATGCACTTTCATGATGGACAGATGCACTTTCATGATGGACAGATGCACTTTTATGATGGACAGATGCACTTTCATGATGGACAGATGCACTTTTATGATGGACAGATGCACTTTTATGATGGACAGATGCACTTTTATGATGGACAGATGCACTTTTATGATGGACAGATGCACTTTTATGATGGACAGATGCACTTTTATGATGGACAGATGCACTTTTATGATGGACAGATGCACTTTTATGATGGACAGATGCACTTTTATCATGGATAGATGCACTTTTATCATGGATAGATGCACTTTTATGATGGATAGATGCACTTTCATGATGGACAGATGCACTTTCATGATGGACAGATGCACTTTCATGATGGACAGATGCACTTTTATGATGGACAGATGCACTTTCATGATGGACAGATGCACTTTTATCATGGACAGATGCACTTTTATGATGGACAGATGCACTTTTATCATGGACAGATGCACTTTCATGATGGACAGATGCACTTTTATGATGGACAGATGCACTTTTATGATGGACAGATGCACTTTTATCATGGACAGATGCACTTTCATGATGGACAGATGCACTTTTATGATGGACAGATGCACTTTCATGATGGATAGATGCACTTTCATGATGGACAGATGCACTTTTATGATGGATAGATGCACTTTTATGATGGACAGATGCACTTTTATGATGGACAGATGCACTTTTATGATGGACAGATGCACTTTTATGATGGATAGATGCACTTTTATGATGGATAGATGCACTTTTATGATGGACAGATGCACTTTTATGATGGATAGATGCACTTTTATCATGGACAGATGCACTTTTATGATGGACAGATGCACTTTTATCATGGATGGATGCACTTTTATGATGGACAGATGCACTTTTATGATGGACAGATGCACTTTTATGATGGACAGATGCACTTTTATGATGGATAGATGCACTTTTATCATGGACAGATGCACTTTTATGATGGACAGATGCACTTTTATCATGGATGGATGCACTTTTATGATGGACAGATGCACTTTTATGATGGACAGATGCACTTTTATGATGGACAGATGCACTTTCATGATGGACAGATGCACTTTTATGATGGATAGATGCACTTTTATGATGGACAGATGCACTTTTATGATGGACAGATGAACTTTTATGATGGATAGATGCACTTTTATGATGGATAGATGCACTTTTATGATGGACAGATGCACTTTTATGATGGACAGATGCACTTTTATGATGGACAGATGCACTTTCATGATGGACAGATGCACTTTTATGATGGACAGGTGCACTTTCATGATGGACAGATGCACTTTTATGATGGATAGATGCACTTTTATGATGGACAGATGCACTTTTATGATGGACAGATGCACTTTTATGATGGACAGATGCACTTTTATGATGGATAGATGCACTTTTATGATGGACAGATGCACTTTTATGATGGACAGATGCACTTTTATGATGGACAGATGCACTTTTATCATGGATGGATGCACTTTTATGATGGATAGATGCACTTTTATGATGGACAGATGCACTTTTATGATGGACAGATGCACTTTTATGATGGATAGATGCATTTGATGGACAGATGCACTTTTATGATGGATAGATGCACTTTTATGATGGACAGATGCACTTTTATGATGGACAGATTAGGGCTGTAGCGATACACTAATCTCACGATACGATACGATACACGATATTCGGCTGACGATACGATATATATCACGATATTCAGCCAACGATACGATTCGATATAATTCGATACACTTACATCATTTTCTGAAAGATTTAAAGGGGACAGAGTGATTTTGGTGACATCTTGTGAGTCTTCCATTTACTTGGATTGAATTAATTGAACTGAAAACTGAAAACATCATTTACACAATATATGTCTCTGACTGGGCAGAGAGTACAGCTTGCAAATGCTGGACAAAATGAATCAAATATGTGTAGAGAAAATTAGTTCTATTTATTGAAAGACAACAGTGCAAACTGTAGCTTATAAGCCTTTGTTAATTGCAATACTGCACTTTATTTACTTTTCAATGGAGAGTTAAAAGGTGCAGCAAGTGGCCTGTTGTGAACAGTTTCTTTGCACTGCCTTTTCTTTGACAGCTTTTTTAGCTTGACACTGAACATGTGACGTGCTTCAGTTGTGCGCGAGGTCAAGCCGTCGCACGTCAGGGAAACTCTCTCCGCGCTGGCCAGGGAGGCTTTGACGTGTGCTCTTGCCTGAGTGTACAGCCTGGGAATGCAAACCTTGATGAGGTGTTCGCGGGTTGGAATAGGATAGCGGGGCTCCATCGCGTTCACCATGCGCCTAAAGCCGGCGTTTTCCACCACCGAATACGATTTTTTTTACATTTTTTTTTTTTTTACTAAGCCTATTTAAAATCGTATTTGATTGCAGAGCGCCGCAGCGCATTCACGCAGCACTACCTCGCTCTCGCTCTCTCTCTCTCTCTCTCTCTCTCTCACACACACACACACACACACTCATCCGTACCTCGCGCACTTTCTCACTCACGGAACACCGCTGCACAAATCTGTCCAACACAGCGCTGTCAATTTCGGAGACCCAGCTTTAAAAAAAGCTACTAGCCAGCATGCAAGGAGCCTAGCCAACAAGGAGAGCTAAGTTGTTGTTTGAATACAGCTGGATTTTCGTCAATATCGATGCACGCGCGCAGCTGGCCACTAGCGGCTGGCTGACCAAATCACTCTTCATGCAACGCGAACGGGTTTAACACGGGGGATTTGAATGGGACTTATGTATCGATACTCGCGGCCTAAAAATCGATACTTTCTTGGGAGAAAAAATATCGATTTATATCGCAGAATCGATAAAATCGCTCAGCCCTAGGACAGATGCACTTTTATGATGGACAGATGCACTTTTATCATGGATAGATGCACTTTTATGATGGACAGATGCACTTTTATGATGGACAGATGCACTTTTATGATGGACAGATTTTATGATGGACAGATGCACTTTTATGATGGACAGATGCACTTTTATGATGGATAGATGCACTTTTATCATGGATAGATGCACTTTTATGATGGACAGATGCACTTTTATGATGGACAGATGCACTTTTATGATGGACAGATGCACTTTTATGATGGACAGATGCACTTTTATGATGGACAGATGCACTTTTATGATGGACAGATGCACTTTTATGATGGACAGATGCACTTTTATGATGGACAGATGCACTTTTATGATGGATAGATGCACTTTTATGATGGATAGATGCACTTTTATGATGGACAGATGCACTTTTATGATGGACAGATGCACTTTTATGATGGATAGATGCACTTTTATCATGGATAGATGCACTTTTATCATGGATAGATGCACTTTTATGATGGACAGATGCACTTTTATGATGGACAGATGCACTTTTATGATGGACAGATGCACTTTTATGATGGACAGATGCACTTTTATGATGGACAGATGCACTTTTATGATGGACAGATGCACTTTTATGATGGACAGATGCACTTTTATGATGGATAGATGCACTTTTATGATGGACAGATGCACTTTTATGATGGACAGATGAACTTTTATGATGGATAGATGCACTTTTATGATGGATAGATGCACTTTTATGATGGACAGATGCACTTTTATGATGGACAGATGCACTTTTATGATGGACAGATGCACTTTCATGATGGACAGATGCACTTTTATGATGGACAGGTGCACTTTCATGATGGACAGATGCACTTTTATGATGGATAGATGCACTTTTATGATGGACAGATGCACTTTTATGATGGACAGATGCACTTTTATGATGGACAGATGCACTTTTATGATGGATAGATGCACTTTTATGATGGACAGATGCACTTTTATGATGGACAGATGCACTTTTATGATGGACAGATGCACTTTTATCATGGATGGATGCACTTTTATGATGGATAGATGCACTTTTATGATGGACAGATGCACTTTTATGATGGACAGATGCACTTTTATGATGGATAGATGCATTTGATGGACAGATGCACTTTTATGATGGATAGATGCACTTTTATGATGGACAGATGCACTTTTATGATGGACAGATGCACTTTTATGATGGACAGATGCACTTTTATCATGGATAGATGCACTTTTATGATGGACAGATGCACTTTTATGATGGACAGATGCACTTTTATGATGGACAGATTTTATGATGGACAGATGCACTTTTATGATGGACAGATGCACTTTTATGATGGATAGATGCACTTTTATCATGGATAGATGCACTTTTATGATGGACAGATGCACTTTTATGATGGACAGATGCACTTTTATGATGGACAGATGCACTTTTATGATGGACAGATGCACTTTTATGATGGACAGATGCACTTTTATGATGGACAGATGCACTTTTATGATGGACAGATGCACTTTTATGATGGACAGATGCACTTTTATGATGGACAGATGCACTTTTATGATGGATAGATGCACTTTTATGATGGATAGATGCACTTTTATGATGGACAGATGCACTTTTATGATGGACAGATGCACTTTTATGATGGATAGATGCACTTTTATCATGGATAGATGCACTTTTATCATGGATAGATGCACTTTTATGATGGACAGATGCACTTTTATGATGGACAGATGCACTTTTATGATGGACAGATGCACTTTTATGATGGACAGATGCACTTTTATGATGGACAGATGCACTTTTATGATGGACAGATGCACTTTTATGATGGACAGATGCACTTTTATGATGGATAGATGCACTTTTATGATGCACTTTTATGATGGATAGATGCACTTTTATGATGGACAGATGCACTTTTATGATGGATAGATGCACTTTTATCATGGATAGATGCACTTTTATGATGGACAGATGCACTTTTATGATGGATAGATGCACTTTTATGATGGACAGATGCACTTTTATGATGGACAGATGCACTTTTATGATGGACAGATGCACTTTTATGATGGACAGATGCACTTTTATCATGGATGGATGCACTTTTATGATGGATAGATGCACTTTTATGATGGACAGATGCACTTTTATGATGGATAGATGCATTTGATGGACAGATGCACTTTTATGATGGACAGATGCACTTTTATGATGGACAGATGCACTTTTATGATGGACAGATGCACTTTTATGATGGATAGATGCATTTGATGGACAGATGCACTTTTATGATGGACAGATGCACTTTTATGATGGATAGATGCACTTTTATGATGGACAGATGCACTTTTATGATGGACAGATGCACTTTTATGATGGACAGATGCACTTTTATCATGGATAGATGCACTTTTATGATGGACAGATGCACTTTTATGATGGACAGATGCACTTTTATGATGGACAGATGCACTTTTATGATGGACAGATTTTATGATGGACAGATGCACTTTTATGATGGACAGATGCACTTTTATGATGGACAGATGCACTTTTATGATGGACAGATGCACTTTTATGATGGACAGATGCACTTTTATGATGGATAGATGCACTTTTATCATGGATAGATGCACTTTTATGATGGACAGATGCACTTTTATGATGGACAGATGCACTTTTATGATGGACAGATGCACTTTTATGATGGACAGATGCACTTTTATGATGGACAGATGCACTTTTATGATGGACAGATGCACTTTTATGATGGACAGATGCACTTTTATGATGGATAGATGCACTTTTATCATGGATAGATGCACTTTTATGATGGATAGATGCACTTTTATGATGGATAGATGCACTTTTATGATGGATAGATGCACTTTTATCATGGATAGATGCACTTTTATGATGGACAGATGCACTTTTATCATGGATAGATGCACTTTTATCATGGATAGATGCACTTTTATGATGGATAGATGCACTTTTATCATGGATAGATGCACTTTTATGATGGATAGATGCACTTTTATGATGGATAGATGCACTTTTATCATGGATAGATGCACTTTTATGATGGATAGATGCACTTTTATCATGGATAGATGCACTTTTATCATGGATAGATGCACTTTTATGATGGACAGATGCACTTTTATGATGGACAGATGCACTTTTATGATGGACAGATGCACTTTTATGATGGACAGATGCACTTTTATGATGGACAGATGCACTTTTATGATGGACAGATGCACTTTTATGATGGACAGATGCACTTTTATGATGGATAGATGCACTTTTATGATGGACAGATGCACTTTTATGATGGATAGATGCACTTTTATGATGGATAGATGCACTTTTATGATGGACAGATGCACTTTTATGATGGACAGATGCACTTTTATGATGGACAGATGCACTTTTATCATGGATGGATGCACTTTTATGATGGATAGATGCACTTTTATGATGGACAGATGCACTTTTATGATGGACAGATGCACTTTTATGATGGATAGATGCATTTGATGGACAGATGCACTTTTATGATGGACAGATGCACTTTTATGATGGATAGATGCACTTTTATGATGGACAGATGCACTTTTATGATGGACAGATGCACTTTTATGATGGACAGATGCACTTTTATCATGGATAGATGCACGTTTATGATGGACAGATGCACTTTTATGATGGACAGATGCACTTTTATGATGGACAGATGCACTTTTATGATGGACAGATTTTATGATGGACAGATGCACTTTTATGATGGACAGATGCACTTTTATGATGGATAGATGCACTTTTATCATGGATAGATGCACTTTTATGATGGACAGATGCACTTTTATGATGGACAGATGCACTTTTATGATGGACAGATGCACTTTTATGATGGACAGATGCACTTTTATGATGGACAGATGCACTTTTATGATGGACAGATGCACTTTTATGATGGATAGATGCACTTTTATCATGGATAGATGCACTTTTATGATGGACAGATGCACTTTTATGATGGACAGATGCACTTTTATGATGGACAGATGCACTTTTATGATGGACAGATGCACTTTTATGATGGACAGATGCACTTTTATGATGGACAGATGCACTTTTATGATGGATAGATGCACTTTTATGATGGACAGATGCACTTTTATGATGGACAGATGCACTTTTATGATGGATAGATGCACTTTTATCATGGATAGATGCACTTTTATGATGGACAGATGCACTTTTATGATGGACAGATGCACTTTTATGATGGACAGATGCACTTTTATGATGGACAGATGCACTTTTATGATGGACAGATGCACTTTTATGATGGATAGATGCACTTTTATGATGGACAGATGCACTTTTATGATGGACAGATGCACTTTTATGATGGATAGATGCACTTTTATGATGGACAGATGCACTTTTATGATGGACAGATGCACTTTTATGATGGACAGATGCACTTTTATCATGGATAGATGCACTTTTATGATGGATAGATGCACTTTTATGATGGATAGATGCACTTTTATGATGGATAGATGCACTTTTATCATGGATAGATGCACTTTTATGATGGACAGATGCACTTTTATGATGGACAGATGCACTTTTATGATGGACAGATGCACTTTTATGATGGACAGATGCACTTTTATGATGGACAGATGCACTTTTATCATGGATAGATGCACTTTTATCATGGATAGATGAGACATTCCAGAGACATACACCCATTCACATTTATAAAGCTTGGAAGAGCCAGGAGATTTTTTTATATAACTGATTGTATTCGTCTGAAAGAAGAATGTCATATACACCTAGGATGGCTTCAAGGGTTAGTTCACCCAAAAATGTAAACTCTGTCAGTAATGACTCTCCCTCATGTTGTTCAACCCCGTAAGACTTTCGTTCATCTTCGGAACACAAATTAAGATATTTGTGATTAAATCTGAGAGCTGTCTCACTCCTCCATAGGCTTCTATTGTAATTGAAACTTGCCGGCCCAGAAAGTTATTAAAGACATCGTTAAAATAGTCCGAGTGACTACAGTGGCTCAACCTTAAGTTTATCAAGCGACGAGAATACTTTTTGTGCGCAAAACCCCCCAAAAATAACGACTTTATTCAACTCTTCATCTTCTCTCTCTGTCTCTAGTTCACGTAGTGTAGCAGCGCAGCGCTACTTCAGAACGTAGGCTCACCCACCCCCCAAAAAAAAAAAAAAACAATAAAAACCCAGCACCCCCAAACTAAAGCATGTTCCCGCGCTCCTGCAGGTGACCCGACGGGCCCAGCGCTCCCAGCATGCACTGCAGGCCCAGATCGGGCGTCTCCAGCAGGACAAGCGCCGGCTCCAGGACGAGATGACGCTCCTGCTCGCTCAGAGAGAAGAACTGGAGAAGAAGTGCTTGGACTTCAGGAAGGAACAGGCCGATATTCTGCCCAGACTCGAGGAGACCAAGTGGGAGGTCAGTCTGAAGACAACACTGCAAAAAATGCTTTTCTCAATCAGTGTTTTTGTCTTGTTTCCAGTTTCCATTGTGTGTGTGTGTGTGTGTGCAGGTGTGTCAGAAGGCGGGTGAGATCTCTCTGCTGAAGCAGCAGCTTCGGGAGAGTCAGGCCGAGGTGACGCAGCGCGCCGGAGAGATGGTGGCCCTGCGGGGTCAGATGAAGGAGCTCAACGCCCAGCTGAGAGAGCGAGAGGAGAACGAGATCAGCCTCAAGGAGTCGTTCTGCACCAAGACCCTGGAGCTGGAGCGCTGCGAGGCCGAGCTGCAGGCCATGCTGGCCGAGGTACACACACATCGCACAAGGGCTCGTCTGTCCGTGGCTTGTTTGTGTGACACACACTGCAAAAAATGCTTTTCTTACTTAGTATTTTTGTCTTGTTTCCAGTCCAAATATCTACAAATTCTTAAAAGATGAGAGAGTGAGCCAATCAGCAGTAGGGGGCGTATTCACTCATGATGGGGGAGGAGAGAGTGAGCCAATCAGCAGTGAGGGGCGTATCCACTCATGATGGGGAGGAGAGAGAGAGTGAGCTATTTAGCAGTAGGGGGCGTGTCCACTCATGATGGGGGAGGAGAGAGAGTGAGCCAATCAGCAGTAGGGGGCGTGTCCACTCATGATGGGGGGGAGAGAGAGTGA